GCAATTTTAAAAACCTCACCGTGACAACGCGAGGCATGAAAATATGACAGTTGCATTTATGGTAATGGATAGAGAGGCTGTGTGTTCCTGTAGTAGATAATGCTAAACAGGCCTATTGGAACCAGCTGTGTGAAGGAGTCTGCTGCCCACATGTTTCCTCAGTGTAAACTAAATACGGCCCAAATCTGTTGTTACCTCAGCTCTCAGACGCTTGTCTCGGTCACAGCTCCTTAACCTCGCAACAACCCAACCTACATTCTTTGTCTGTGGACCATTTCTTCCATAAATAACTTTGGGTGGGTTCAAGTTAATAAGCAGTTCACAAACTCACCACTCTGAACTGCTCTAGTTTCTGGTTTCCTTTGATGAAGAACGGACACTCCTTATCTCCTGTCCTGTGTCCGTAACGCTTGCATCTCCAACCTGCAGCAAAGGAAACAAATCTGAGAGTTAATAGTGGGACAGTTGGACAGACGTGACGGGTACAACTCTGCAATATTATAGATTCAATATCGGCATGAAAGTACATTCTTTACCTTAGGAATATAATCTTACATTATATACTCAAAGTCACAATCACATCAGAGTATGTTTAAAGGGGCACTGTTATGCTTTTTGGGGTTTTCCATGTGTTATTTTGGTTTTGTGCATGTAAATGGTCGGCAAAGGCTAAAAGTGTCTCTCCCACACACTGCCCCCACCGTGACTGACACACCTCCATTGGACTCCTTTGTTTACTTCCATAACATAGCATTACACAGTGTATGTGATAGGCTAAGAGGCAGGACATCTCTAGGTGTTTGACCAATCATAACAGAGCTAGCGAGCTAACCAATCAGAGCAGACAGGGCTCTGGTTTCAGACAGAGGGTGAAAAGAGGTGCTGCAGCACAGGCAGTATGAGAAAAATATAGACCTTTTTGAACATTAGAGCATGGAGACGTGTCACAGCAGAGACACTACATACAAATATGAACCTGAAAATGAGCATTTTAGGACCTCTTTAATTGTCATATACATACCAAAAACAAATATATTCACAGACATGTTATCACATGACTAAAAGCCTATATTTGATGACAACTGAACAAACTCAACAAATAAAGGAAACTGTCTACTAAGAAAACTAAGATTTGCAGTTAAAGCTAAGAACGAAAGATATTAAGTTAACCTTTGAGTTAAGATGTTATTAACTGTAGTTTCTTTCCTCCATGGGCCAACAGAAAAACATTCATTTAGGGTTAGGAAAAGGAGTCACACACTCAAAATTGCCCTGCTCATGTACTTGACATTTATGCCTCATTATAAAAGAGGAACCTCCTCAAACAAATCAGAAATCTTCACTTTGTGGCTTCACTGAAAACAAGTGAAGAGTTTGTGTCAAAATCTCACACTGTTTGAATGTTCAACACTATAAGTGGCAGTGTAGCCGTCATGAATAACTTGAGTCTTAAAGTGAGACCACACAAAGTATCTGTTTATCCTCTAAAGTAGTTTAAAATGTGTTTACTTTGTTCACGTCCATATCATTCAAAGCGGCGTCTCTCTATTCCTTTAAGCCAAATGGCATATTCAAACATTTTCTCAAAGGATTAAGCAGAGCGACCGATTCTGCAGAACAAATGCCAACTTGTGCACCGGGTCCCCGGGTGTGTACGTGTGTGTGCTCTCTCTCTCTCTTAGTCCCTGGCTGTTCATGCAGCATGAAAATGAGTGGGACGGAGGAATGAATGGACTGTGAAAATAAGGGAAGTCTTTGTCAGAAGGTAATCTCCACCAACACCAGTATTAATCTGTCGCAGCAGACAAACAAAAGGCGTGGTGTTAATTGACAATTGACAAGTTCTTGTGGTTACATTTTTCCGCCATCAAAACCACTGCCACACACATGATGGATGTTTGCTCCCACCTACAGTTCATACACTTTAGGTGCTGCTGGTACTTCTATAGCCAATATGAGGGAATCTGTCAACATAGGTTAAGAGCTTTAAAGAGAGTTTTCATCATAATGTTATGAATATGAGTGCATGTTTGGACCTGTGAGCAGCAACTCTTTCTTGAGCTCAAGAACAACATTTAAGATGAAACAAGTTATTATTTAAACTGTGATCAAAACCGTTCACCCAACAATACTGTTGGATAGAATTATAGGATGAGATGTTTAAAAAGCTCAAAAGACGAATGTAAATAGTCATCAGAGTCAGATCAGATCAGTCAATTTCTTGCTATTAAATATGTCTTATCATGAATAAATGGTAGATAGTAATAGCAATCGTAGATTATCACAGACAACAAGAGATTCCAACACTCAATGTTACTTGATCTTCTTGATGTGTAGGTTATTGAATCACAAGCTAAAGAAGGTTTTGTAAATATATTTCTTATTGAAAGTGGTGTCATGAAGAGCTTACAGTTCTTATTTGTAATAATAAAGATGTATAGTATTTATGTTTCCCTTGCCGAAAGGAAAAATAAAGAAAAACACAGAATTGGCCAAATTCTTGTTCTAAACGTTGTTGTCGGTTGAGAAATGTGCAACTGATGCATCCCTCAAAACAATTAAACAGTGCATATATCTCTCTCAAAGCAAACTTCAGTTATCAGTGAATTAGTGCAAAGTGTACTCACACTGCATCACCTTCACCTCCCTCCCCAGGGGCATCCACAGCCCCCTGGTGGGCGCGTGGGCCAGGAAGCTCCTGGCTGCTTCATTTCCGGGTTCAGCAGGAATACAGTCCTCTGGTTTGTCCTCGTGCTCCTGCAACAGTAACTTTCACCTTTGGGCATTTCTTTGAGTAAATGATAACAAAATGTGTAAAATCCCAACTGCTATTTTTCTTTAAAGCTTCATTACTAAATGTAACGTTACCTTTATGAGTCCTGGTGGAGGCTTCTCATAGCTGCATGAAGAAGATAATACTGATGTTATTCTAGCAGACTATTTAAAGCTCAGCTGTCTTTTCCATAACAAGATACCACAAATACAACCAAACATTAACCGGAAGAGCGTAAGAGTAAATTATTATGGATGAGCTACAACAGATAACTTATAAATTGCATTTATAATTCATGCATAAGTTTGGACCCTGAAGCAGAAAAGCTCTCAGTAGTCTTACTCACAACGTCTCAAGGTGTTTCAGTTGTTTCACTTCTTGGGTGAGTTTTTTCGTGTGTGTTTTGAGTTTCTCCAAATCCTGTTTGGATGACTTGTGTCTCTTGTGCTCTCGTCGGTCATCCTTCTCTCTTCTTCGCTTTTTGTCCGACATTGCCCTGATATAGACCCCCGAACAATCATTTACTTATAAATGATACTGCATTAAACGATAGTTTGTCAGCTACACAGTGAGAGACATCGAGCAGCGTGCTAACAGCGGCTAACCAGCAGACATTTCTCTGCTGCTGTCCGACTTCCTGTGCAGCAGGCCGGTTTGTTAAAGTCCAGCGCCACCTGCAGGACACGTGGAGTACTGCTGTGGTAAAAATGGCGTTTCCCTCTCTAGAAAAACTCAAATTTATTTCAATAACTTTTTTTTTTTCGACACATTTTTTAAAAACATGTTATTATTTTCGTCAAAAAAACTTTAGGTACTTGTGGGTTATCTTTCGCCACTTTTTTTGTTTTTTCAGACTCTCTAAATACGCACTTTAATTTTCAGACTCTCTAAATAACCCTAACCCTCACCCATAGGATTACTGTTTGTTATTTTGAGAAATGAAAGAGTTCATGTGGAGGAGCCAGTTACCCGCTATTAAAAAGTGGCGACAGATAACCCACAAGTACCTAACTTTATTTATAACAAACAGTACATTAGTGACTAACACAATGATGTTCTCAAGGTCAGCTGTCCAAAACAGAATCACACCTCCAAAAATCATCATATAGGAAATAGTAGTGAAGTAGTAGTTGTTGAATTTAGAGAGCAAAATATAAATAAAAAATCAAACGACATAGAAGTAGTATACAAGAACAACAAATTAGGCGAGTAAAATAAACATTCGGGTCGGCTTTAAAGCACTAAAATAAACGTTTCTATTCACATGTCTTCTAGCTTTCATTCAGAAACACTTTTTGTTATATTTCATGGAATGCTCTTAACATCCATGGAATATAACAAAAAGTGTTTCTTTTTTAATACATTAAATGCTTTGACAATAAATACATACAAAAATGTCATCTGTGGAAGCCGTGGCGCTGTAAAAAGCACGTTATTTTAGCCGGCCCGGCTAAAATAACTGGATGGCCTACCTGCCTGTCAGCCTTCCATCTGTGCACAAACTTATCTCGTGCCCTCATTGGTCATGTGCGTGTTCGTGTGTGTTGGAGGAGAGGCTCTATAAGGAAGTCTGAAGGAAGGGGCAGATCTTATAGCGCACTCGAGCTGGTTTCTCCATTCTTACCTACCCTACCTTTAAGTAACAGTAGATTTACTAGTAGAAGTGTACTGTACAATATTGAGGTACTTGTACTTGAACATTTTAATTTGTGGCCATTTACTACTTACTCCAATATATTTTGGAGGTAAATATTGTAATTTGTATTCCGCTACATTTATTTTATAACTTTATGTACTCATGACTTTGCAGATTTAGATTAATAATAGAAAATATAATCAATAAGACCAACAATCATTTTTATTATGGCTAAAATTATGATTTTATTGATCCATTGGTTAATTCAAATAACTTGCCAGTATATCTATAGTATAGTATAATATAGTATATATATTATTTATTAATGATGTAGAAGTAATTTTTTACATGTAAATTGTTCTACTTTAATTTACGTTTGTATGTTTTTCTTTTACATATTTTGCACAATCATTTTCTTGGATAGTAATATAGATCTATCCTAAGTGTAAAGACCCCCCATATACCCCAAGTATACGCAGCTGGATTAATTATAGCCTTTCATCTATATCGGCAGAGACATTAATATAAACTCTGTAAGACTGAAGCTGCAGTAAAATGCATTTTCTAGCACTCATTTCACAGAAAATTGGAAAAGGTTTCACAGACTAAGATGGTTTTATTTGAGTGATTCACAGTGTAGGTGGAATACAAATGTGAGGTATTTCAGGATTCAAATACATACTGTACATTCTACAGCTAATGGAAAAGGTAATCAGGCAGTACGACAAAAGAAGATATATCCAAATCCCTGCTCTTTACAAAAAGATGAAAAGAGTAACCTTTCAAAAACATGTAACCAAAGAAAATATTAAAATAAAATATTAAGCATTGACAATACTGATTGTCTATAAGTCTCTTTGTACAGGTTAAGGCAGAGTGCCTATTCAATGTAAACAGCAAGTTATGAGTCCCATGTCAGATGATAATTAAAAAACATCTTCCCTGGTGACTGTGCACAGTTCCTATCATGTCATGCATTTGCATTGACATATACATTTGTCAAGTATATACTTAACATCTCCCCACTGGATAAAAAATAAAGAAAGTGAATACATTCAAATACAAAAGATTAGACATCAAGTAAACATGAATACGAAACAGTTTTATATATATGTATTATATACATATTTAATAAAAATAAAAAGATATTGGCATGTAAACCAGCTTCCCATGCCAAACTCCACCCACAGACCACAGTTCCTGGGTTTTAAACTATTTGATAAATACTGAATAATTCCTCAAACATTACCCTTAAAATAACATCCCCAGTTTAGGAGATTTTAAGAGACATGTGCTGAGTTAGAATAAAAGCATTCTCCTCCAACTGGCTCAGCAGTAACCCTGATGTAAAGCTGAAATAGCCAGCCAGAGCTCCCAGTTGATACATTCAGGATACCAGGAGTGCCATTCCAAACAGCCCGGCAATAGTTGTGTTGGTGGGCAGACTGTAACCCTTCACACACCGGCTCGGAAAATAAAGTGTCCCTTTAGCCTTTGGCGTTAACGGGTTACAAACGTGGGTCTTACCCCATGTTCTTTCAAGAGTCGACAAAAAGACAAAAGAGACGCTCAGAGTGAGGAGAGAAAATCTTTCAAGCCCCCCTTCTTCTTGCCCGGGTTGTCTTCTCGCATGAGTATCTTGCTGAGACGCTGCACAACCCAATTCTTAGGTTTAGAGGGAGTCTTGGAGGCAGATGAGCCTGACCCTGAGGTGTTAGAGGAGCTGGAAGACCTGGAGAGAGAAGGAGAACGTTGGGAAAGGGAGAGGAGAGAAGAGGTAAATTAGAGAAATCTGAGATTTTGTTGGTCGGCAGGAAAAGTTAAAAGTGTACGTCAACAAGTATATGATCTGGCAAGCATGGATACCAGCACGTAGCACCCTTACAGCTAGCTGCAGTTCTCTTAATGAAACATAATCATTCAAAAAGCTAATGGGCCTGACACAGCATCCTCTCGAATGTCTGTGACATATCCTAAACTTTTAGCTCTGAGGATATTAATAAGATCCACCTTAAAATAACTTACCTAGGTGTGTGAACAGGTGTCTTGTCTTTGCTGGGAGTCTTGGGGGTAGGCATGTTGGCTCTGTGAGTAGACTGGGGGGTCTTGTATTTGCCCACGCTCCCTGGCGTGCTGTGGGTCTTCGCGAGGCCAGATAAAAACTCCCTGTTCATTCCTCTGTGTCTGGACGTTTGATTGCAAGTGTGGCAGGTTGCCATCTGGGGAGAGAAAAGGAACATATTCATTCATATTGCATGGCCTGAATACAAATTCCTCTCAAATATAATAAGGTTCCCAGGTGAAGGCATATCAGCTATTGTTGGATGATAGCAGTTTATCTACCAACTGATGTCATTCTAAGTGAGGGAAGATAAAGCGTTTGTCATTTTTTATTTTTCATCAAACCCAGTACAGCCACATCTATCTGTATTTCTGTGGGACACACAAGAGTTTATTGCGACTTAGTCTGGATATTGATCGCAGCAACAGAAAGCCTTCAGGAACACAGAGAGCCGGGGAAGGGGCTTCTTCACCCCGGGACAATGAGCAGCCTAAAGCCTCACAGACATCAGAAACATAGGAATGGTTCACTGTGGGGTCCAGGAAGCAAATTCATGACGTGTAACAATTTTGAAAATGATTTGCTTGACAGCTGAGGCTCTTCCCATTGGCCCTGCCAATCATCCCCAATATTATCTTACCCTTCAATGTTTGTACAGATATGAAAATAGCTGGATTAGTTAAAGTGGGATGGGAAACATTGACTTAGCCTTTGGGGGGGGGTGGGTGGGTGGGGTGAGTGGGGGGGGGGGGGCTGTTGCCAGGCAGTTTCACCTATTCAATCTATAGGTTCTTTAACAGCTGCCAGCCAACTTCTTTAGTTCAAGTTGCAATAGAGTGGTGCATCTTTTGCTAAAATTAGCAAAAGATGCACCACAAAATAATTATCATTATGAAGTTGATTTTGATTGCCGAGTGTAATGGATAGTGAATGATAGATTGGTTCCTTCACTATGCATTTCTACCAAAACCATGTACGATCTCCCAGGAAAAGGAAGGCTGAATTCATGGCACAAAACCCTAACAACAAAAAACTATTTCCTGCTAAATGTTTCCTACTCTTTTCAAATAATCAAATGAATACAAGCTCCAAAAGTAGGTAAACAAGAGAAGAGCGGTGGATAGCGATTACTCTGAGGAGGAAAGTATTTCTTGCTCTTTTTGAATCATGTCTCTCTGGCAGCGGCGCCAACATGGGGGAAAGCTGAAAAGTTGTCTGTTGCAACTTTAATCTCTACAAACCATTTTTTTTTTTACATGAATTACTTTAATACGTCAGTCACACTTAACTGCGCCTGACACGACACATTCCAAGCAATTTCCTAACACAGATTACACAAGACCCTATATTTGGCGAAGAGCTCAGACACTTATGAGAGTGACGAGACCCAGCTGCTCATGAGACCCTCATGCTTAAAGACGGTAATTGGCATTCCAGACTCCTGACTAACCCAAAAAAAAAAAAAAAGAACGTGCATGTAGCTACAATATGACTGAGACAAACTAAAGAAAATCTAAAAACATTATAAAACAGCAGCTACGGTTATTGCCACAAAGACTCCTTTACTTTCAGCCACAGATTTACAACGAAGACGCATAAGATCAAGCGACAATAACAACTAGGAGGCAATCAAATCTTTTCAGTGATGAGCGCAAGTGCAAGCTACAGGGCTGCAGAATATTAAACAAACTCTAGCAAATAATAAAGCTCTTGAAAAAGTGTCCTTTCCTCACTGTAGAAAAAAGCAGGACAAAGTGTTAATGGCTCTTTTGCAACTCTACTTGCAACCTGTGGAGACTTAAATCCCACTTTTGACACAAGCCCTCCAAAGTTGCACACGATTCAAACAGGTCAAAACAGACCAAAAGACTGCAGAGGTCAGCAAGTGTGAGCCAAGCTGTTGACAGTCCTGAATGCTAATGAGATGGAGAACTCACCGACACGAAGGTAGCCATTTCAGATTCTGACAGGTGTCCGAGAGTTGGGTTTTTATGAAGCGGGAGTAATGAGTTCCTCAGTCTTTCTATTCGAACGTGTGTGAAGTGTTTACTAAACGAGCGTGCATGTCCAGCTTTATAAAGACCAGCCCAGCAACTGACCCACCTATCTTTGCAGAGGGGCGGGGCTCAGAAGAGGGCTGACCAATGCTCTGTAGGAAGGGTCGACTGCTCTGTGGGACAGCCGGCACTCTGCTGCTCCGTCAGCGACGAAGCTGTTGCACAAACTGGACTGAAATAGTCACATCAGTGTTTGCAAACAACATTTACTTTGTAGGATAAAAACACCAGACTTAAGCATCTTCAAACAAGAAGAATGAATAGTACCAAAGATATGTAGATACAAATCCATGTAGAAAACATGATGATTGTAGAAAATGAGATGATAAAGGATTCCTACTTGTATCAATTTGACAACATTTCCAAAATATATATTACGTTATTAACATTGCTGCACACATATAAAAGAAGCAGGGTGAGGATATCTTTAAAAGAAAAACACATTTTTTAACCTGCTATTTATCCTGTTATTAGTTTTATTATATTTTCAGTCATTAAATGTTTGTATTCATTTAAATAAATATTTTTTTAAATCATTAAACTTTTTATTTTTGAATGTTCAGCACTTGGAGTTGTCATTGATGTATGAATGAAGCTATTTAAATACCGTTGGATTAATGACCCAAAGCTGATGTAAAGTATAATAAGGACATTGTGATCATTGTAAGAAACGTTTGTCTACATTTTATTTTCCCTAAAGAACTGAATACTGATGTCATCACAAATGTATTTCTAACTCCTAAATAGGCAAACCTTTCTTTCAGTAGATGAAGCTTCATACTGGAAGGGAACATGTAGCGGTAGAAGCCTATTCATCAAACTATTTATCGCTTCCAAAGTTAAAACAACTCTTCTGAACTGAGCAAACCATTTGTGATTACAATCGTTGTGAAGAACAAGTCGTAAAAACTCAAAGCAGCTATGTTGACGGTGCAGATTAAGCTGGAGCAGCTGTTTTTAATCCACTAAAGATCATTTTAGCTGGAGATGGTAAAGCTGTTAAAAACACATCATACGGGAACAAACTGTCTGCAGGCTTTTCTTTGGGTCAAATCCATGCAGCAACGCAGCTGTCCGGCAGTGGCTCAGTCAGTAGGGGCTTGGACTGGGAGCTGTAGGGTCGCTGGTTCAAGTCCCCGACCAGACCTAAATATGGAGTGTGGACTTCTACTTGGAGAGGTCCCAGTTCACCTCCTGCCCTGCCGTGGTGCCCTTGAGCAAGGCACCGGACACCCCCCTTCCCCCCCACTCCCATTGCTCCCCGGGCGCTGTACAGTAGCTGCCCACTGCTCCTAGTACTAGACTCCTTGTACTAGGATGGGTTAAAAGCAGAGGCCAAATTTCACTGTGTGTGCTGTGTGCTCTGCATGTGTGACCATTAAAGAGGGTTTCATCCCTCCCTATTCTATTCTATTCTATTCTATTCAAACATTTGCAAATGCGTAGCTCAGATTTCCCCCTCATTCCTGTTTGTCTATCCACCTCAATGTATTTGTATTTGTATTTGTTGTGATGAGCAGTCCACTGTGTTTACTTTCATTTAGAACCCTTCCCTCACTACCACCTGTTCTTTCCTGCTGCAATTACCCAATTTCCTCCAGTAGATCATTAAAGTGTTCATCTGATCAAATATCAACAGGAAACTGGTATCGAACAAGAACTGTTTGTTTACAGGTTATGAATGGAGCTGTGGCATTAGGCTTTAGATTGTACTTGTTTGAACTCAGATGACTATCAGCTGAACGTAAAGAAACAACAGCTTAGAGGACAGGAGCGCCATAGTGAAGTGAAACAAACAAAAGCAGACACCTGGCTGCAGATGGATGTTTGCATCAAGAATGACCTGCTGCTGCTTCGTGTACCACTAGTAGCCCCACATGTTTGAAGTGACTTGCTCTGAAGCACTGACACAACAGGCTCCAAGAAAAAAAAGTGTAAAGTGAATCCATGGCAACCCAACAGTGCTTCTACAGAAAGAAAAAGTCACAGATACATTTCATCTTCATCCCCTACACATGGGGATAATAGTAAAGGTCTGTTCCAGAGCTAAATGGTAATTGCCCTTTACACACAGGGAGTGACGACCTTTGAAATAATGATGCAAGGTGTGTGAAATACCAGCATGTGCTGTTCATCCCTTCAATCCTAAAATAAAAACAGCATGAAATCGTATATATACCTCGCTAACTAGCCCACTTCAAAATCCATTATAAAAGAGATAATACATCTCTTGGTGTAAGCGAATGTTTTTTAGGCAGTCAAGGCTTTCCAGCATGCCGACCAATCAACAGCAACACTTTGATTTATAAACCTTAAAATAAGACATGCATCCTATGTAAGTGTACCTGAACGCACAGGGAAACAAGTACGAGGAACAAAAGAGTCCAAGATATCTCACAACACAACAACTCTATGAGATTTTGCAGCTTTGTCTCATGTAGCTAAAGCTGTGCCCAGCTGGCCACGTGGGAAATCAGATGTTGGGTCAGGTAAGAAGATTAGAGACACTTCAGAGGATACATCTGAACTTATGAACACAGAAATCAAGGTTCAAGGTTCTTTATTGTCAAACTGACATAGCTACAGAGTAATTATGTTGTTGAAAATCTTATGTCACAGGCTTCTCCAACAATGCAACATAATAATAATACAGATAGTAAGAGTAATACAAAAAGAAAAATAGTTATAAAATAAAGTGAGTATGTGGAATAGTGCAGTACGAGTCTATATACAAGTTATTGGAATGATATATATTAGATAGTAGATATATATTACTAAGTAGCAGATGAATGTTTTGAAATTGTTTCAGCAGTTCAATTGTTTAACAGTCTCACTGCCCGCGGGAAGAAACTGTCTCCGAATCTTTTTGTTTTTGCCACAATGCTGCGGTAACGTCTGCCAGACGGCAACAGAAAGAACAGTTTGTGGCTGGGGTGATGGGGTGATGGGGGTCTTTTATAATCCTGAGGGCTTTCTTTCTGAGCCGCTGGGAGTAAAGGTCCTCCATGGATGGCAGCTCCGTCCTGGTGATGTTCTGTGCAGTTTTCACCACCCTCTGTAAAGCCTTACGATTGAGGTCGGTGCAGCTGCCGTACCAGGC